TGCTGTGAAAATGTCAGAAACAAAAATATGCAAAACATGTTTGGTCACCCTAACTGTTACAATATCACATTTTATGAAATAGTAATTTTATATCATTAAATTCTATAATTTATTTACAAAAATGTCTAAAAACCACATTTTAATAATTCAAATATTGTCAATATTTTTTCATATAAAAGCCCTAAATTTTTTTGCAATAACCTAATTATTATCCTGTTTACAAGTTTGCAAATCCAGAAAGGAGATCCTGTTTCAGTCATTATCTTCACAAATATTTATAACTAAAATTCATAAAATAAAATAATATAATATAAAAAAGATCATAAATTAAAACAGATTTAGCCAAAAAAAAATATTAAAACAAGAATTACCTTGATTTCAAATAGATTTAGCCAAAAAAAAATATTAAAACAAGAATTACAGACCTTGATTTCAAATAGATTTACCAAAAAAAAATAATTTCCATAGACTAATTGATTTAGCCAAAAAAAAAAAATTAAAACAAGAATTCCAGACCTTGATTTCAAATAGATTTAGCCAAAAAAAAAAATTTATTTCGATAGATTAAATTGATTTAGCCAAAAAAAAAAAAAAAAAGTTAAAACAAGAATTCCGGACCTTGATTTCAAATTGATTTAGCCAAAAAAAAAAAAATTAAAACAAGAATTCCAGACCTTGATTTCAAATTGATTTAGCCAAAAAAAAAAAATTAAAACAAGAATTACAGACCTTGATTTTGAATTAAAAAAAAATTAAAACAATCTAAAATGATACGCAGATATGGGTTTTGAGAGTTGAGAGACAGCAGGCAACGGCGGAAGCTTGCGAACGGAACAGCGGGCGATGGAAACTAAAAGATGTGGGTTTTGATTTTTTGAACAATCTGAAATGATATGCTGATATGGGTTTTGATATAGGTTTGAACTTTTGATTCTTGCAGACATCTGATTCTAATATGGGTTTTGAACATCTGATTCTTGTGGACTACAGTAGTTTGTAGTTGCAGAGACAGAGAGATGCAAATTCAGAGTTGAGAACAAGAATAGAGTTGGAGTCGATTAGGGAGGCTGAGATGATTTGAGAATCACCCAAATTTGCCCAAATAGAAGCTACACCCAAAACCCTAGAAAATGACGAATTTTGCCTTATATATGTGTTTCCTCCGCTACAGTTAAATGAGCAAATTGTTTCCTCCGCCACAGTGTAATGTAGCCCAAACCATACAAAAACAACCAAAAACACCAAAATGGTGTTTCATATTTTGGGCCCATTTTTGAAATTGTTTTGCTACTGTTTAAAACACCACAAGCCCAGCCAAACATGTTTTGGGCTTGAAAGGGGCTACTGTAGCAAGTCTAAAACAAAACAAAACATATGCCAAACAGCCTCTTAATCTTCCTCAACTGCATTTGGCTGCTCAATATTTAGTTTGTTTGTAGTTCTAAGATAATTTAATTTATTTATTTGCAATTAGTTCGTGCTTCTAAGAGATAATTTCAGACCAAGTCCGTGTCTTTTTCTAGCTGGAAATGGTAGAAGTGGTGATACTGAATGCTCTGTGATCATTCTGCAAATTTCAAAATCATTTAACATGGGCTGCAATAGTTAGAGAACATTTTTAATACGCAATACCAATTACGTGGTATCACCGCATTGATATGTAGTGATATGATTTATTGAAATAGATGCATTTTTATTTATGTAGCATGATATATTGATTTTGTCATCCGATTTACGCTTGACACGCATGATATTCTCATGCGAGTTTGGTTCTTGTACCTATGAACATTTTTACTCTGACCCTAACATACTAAGGTAATGAAGAAAAAATTCTATTTGTTTTTGAGAATAATGTGGTTCTTGTACCTGTGAACATTTTTACTCTGACCCTAACATACTAAGATAATGAAGAAAAAACTCTATTTGTTTTTGAGAATAATGTTTTTGTCGTAAATATTTTCACGTAAAAAACATTTTACATTTAATTTTTTTTTTCTTTTCATTTTTTTTGAAGAAGAACGTCATGTGAATTATGTTTCAATTTTTTTTACAAATCCTGATTCGCTCACACAAAAATCTCCTTTGTTGCTTTGATTGTACAAATATTATATAGGACAAAAGAAATGTATGTCAAAAGTAAAATTCATTTTTGCATTGACAAACGCCTTGTGAATTGTCATGGTAGTATCTTTATAAATAAGAAGACTTTTTAAAAAAGATTTGAGCCTTTTTGGAAAAAAAAAAAAAAAAGATTTGGGCCAATTTCAAGTGCTAAAAAATTTTCAAGTCATAAAATGTTAAATGGAGCTGCACTAGTGAAATAATAATAATATTATTATAGAAACATTCATATAGAACCATAACCTACCACGCACAATCAAGATACCCATACCCTACTACAACTACTTCCCTCTGACAATTTAAAACAACTACTAATAGTTAATAAATACTCCCATACCCTACAACTTCTTTCCTCTTTTACTAGATATAAATTAAAAACAACTACTAATAGATAATAAATACTCCCATACCCTACAACGTCTTTCCTCTTTTACTTGATATAAATTAATTATATTCGCTAATTTCAAGGCTGTAATCTCCTTTTGCTATTTCTTTGAAGGCCTCCATGTCTTTTCCACTAACACCACGGGCAAATACAATTTGTGCCTTGGACGACTCCACCAGCTTGGCGGCATGCCGGAGCTCCCTTATGTTTGAAATGGCAATGGTGGGGAGAGTCATAAGTTCTTGCCTTGCGCTACACGCTTCATCCTTCCTCTTCTCAATATCTCCCTTCACATCGCTGAGCTGATTGTTGAGTTGCTTCTTTTGGTGACTCAGATTCTTACCATGATTTCGTTCATGTTTTAACTCTTTTTCTGCGAGCATTAGCTGCCTGAGAGAGTCGAGAGAAGATGGAGTATCGGACATGGTTAAGGGGCTAAAAGGTTTTACTAGATATTTTTCGAGATGGTTAGTAATGTATGGAGTGTTATTTTTATCATCAACGATCATGGTAAATTAATGACATCTATAGTCAGGTAAGAAATGTGAAGGTAAGAAATGAGAATGGTATGACATACACCTTATTCTAGATTTTTAGGTTTCTATTTTATTTTATTTTTTTAGTTTTGTGATGGTGTTATCTGACCGTCCAATTTAATTTTCAATAGTAAATTTATAAAAGGAGGAGACTTTATAAAATATTCTTATTATATTTTCTCTAGGGATAACAATTTTTACTGACCCTGCGGGTTTCCGCCCAGCTCTTAATGAGGTGGATTTGGTAGTCCCAAAATGGTTTTGGGGCAAGTATGATAAGAAAATAAAAAAAACTCAAAGTGGGTTTGGGGCGGGGTGGAATTAGTGATGAACTCGCCCCGCACCCGCCCCGATTACTTTAAAAATTATATATAATAGATATTTAATATTTTTAAGACCATTGTTACTTTGCAGCAAGTGTCCAGTAATATATTAATTTTCATTGTTGTTTAATAAAACTGAAAAATAAGTATTGAAAATTTTAGAGAACTGAATTTTAAGCACGAAGTTTTTAAGTGTAGTTAAAATTAAATATTTGTAATATTTTTTTAGTGTATATTAAGTATTGAAAATATTTGTTAGCGTATAGTTTTTACCGTTTTAAATTTTACCTCATTTTAAATAGTGATATTCAAATTGCATTATTAAACACAGTTAATTGGATAAGTGCTTAATATGTTAAGAATTAAGTACTGAATTGAATAATCAAATAGTATTCGGGTTGTGCACCAAGCTAAAACGTGTCAAGGGCTGAACTGAAGATCTTTAATTCCAAACATTATGGTAGCATTAACTCCAAGGTTGCCCAAGCTATAGACTAGACTGTAGCTACTCCACATGTGGGGATCCTTCCAACTGACCTAGAAAATATGTGTATGCTATAAACCTGTCATTTAAAATTTTATTCCATTTTAAGTGGTGATATTCAAATTGCATTATTAAATGCACTTAATTGAACTAGTGCTTAATATGTTCAGGATTAAGTACTGAATTGAATAATCAAACAGCACTAATTAATAATTTAAAAGTGGGTTATAAGCCCAATTTGAGCACATTGGATTATTATTATTATTTTTTCACTAAATAATAAAAGTGGCATAACCCGCCCTGTCCCCACAATTAAACGGAATACACGGAGTGGAGTCAATAACTATGTCTATTGAAGTAGGAGTGGAGATGATATACCAATTATATACTCGTCCTGAAATAAGAGTGGAGTTGGTATGACGAAATTTCTAAAAGGACGGAGTTGGGTTTAACCAAACCCGCCCCAACTCCACCACGTTGTCATTCTTAATTTTCTTCTTCTTTCCTCTCTTTCCAACCCCCCTTCTATTTTCTAATAATTGTTTTTTATTCTCTTTTGACATTAATTTCTTTTAATTTTCTTTTTAAATACACCCTTGTCGGATCGGATTGGATCAACTAATCCCAAAAAAAATACATAAATGGGGCGGGGTAGGGCGGTTACGGGTGCACTAATCTCCTAATGGGGTGCAGGTATGAACTGTGAAATTTAAACATGTCACGGGTATGAGACGGGTTTGGATTTGTTCATAATTAAACGAGACTGGCATAGATTTAGGCAAATCCTCTCTATACCCGCCTTGTTATCATTTCTAGCACCATCACATCAACTGCGTTGCAAGTTCGAGTGAGAGAGAATCTTATCCCACATCAAATCTAGTTGGAAAGTGAAGTGTTTTAGGAAAAAAATCGTTTTGGTAAAAAGAAATTTCTTTTGCAATGTCAAAACGTTTTGTAAATAGTGTCAAAAATTTGAAACACGAGCAATGGTTACAACAGTAATTAATATATTTTTTTCAAAAAAATCTTAAATGACAATTTTAAAATAATATATATTTTTATGCTAAATACAGTATATTTTTATGTTTTTATTTCTAAAAATCTTGCAATTAGTAACGTAGGACCACTTAAAAAGTCCCTCTCATCAACAAGTAGAAATTGCGAATCTGCGATACCTTTTTGTGTTCTATATCTAGGATTCTCATATCAATCTATAAGTACTTCAAAAGAATCAAAACTTGTACTTCCATCGAGTATCTTCTATTTATTTAACGTGAATTACAATCTTTGTTCGTTCTTCGAAGAAATTAGGGCTCGTATTTCGAATCTTCGATCCTTACACAGGTGAGTCTCTTTTTCTGCATTAGCTGTTATTTTTATTTTTATTTTTTTCTTCAGGTAATTAAGTGAAGGGTTTCTGTGTTTTCTTCTTTACTTTAATTATAATTAGATTTAGAGTTATCAGAGTTATCATAAGCTTCTTCCTTAATCTGTAATTGTTTTTTTTGGTAGTCTATGCAGAGCTTATTTAGGCTATAAATTTGAGTAACAGAAGGGCAAAAACAACTATGACACAATGAGGAAAAGGATGATGAGGCCCATCTCTAAATGCACAAAAAAACTCAAGGTGAATATGTTGGGAAACGTGCAAGTTTTAAAAACTTTTCGAGGGATTTTGATTCATAGATCTTGATTCATCACATAGAGACAAGTTTTATGCAAAAATAAAAATATGATGTATCATTCAATTAATGGATTAAATACTTACATCAAATGTCTGAGTAAACCTTTAAAACTTTCCTCTAAAGTGAATGTTCTCACTTATTGTAGATCCCTTAGCAAAATGCCTTCTACTTGGATCTCCATATTCTTGGTAATTATTTTGCCTTTAGGAATCACTCATAAGCCTCCATAAATTACCTTGGAAAAACTAGGCTTGTGGGAGCCTCCATTAGATGAGAACATAAACCCTAATTTTCTAGAGAGAAAAAATATATATTCCTTTTTCCTTCTACTAAAAATCACACCTAAAATATATATAGACCATGTATATTTATAGGCAACATAAAGGTAAAGAAAAGGAAACAACTAATCCTTCTCAATCTCTAATTCACATGTCTCAAATCTAATATGATTCCAATATCAAGTTGGGCTATGAGTGAGAATCCATTGGGCCTATTATTTTATTGGCTACAATGAATTAATAATTGGCCCGGTCCATGGACCCAATTCAATTAATTCATAAATTAATTTCTACTCCACTAAAAGAAATTAATTGAACTCCAATTAAATAATAAATAACCTCTGAGTCAATATTGCACTTTGACCCCTCTATGCATAATTAGTTATCGGATAAATAAAGCCATCAATCCGACTACTTAATTAATATATTTATTTTGATACATTTGATTATTTCTGGCTCGATCACAATAAAACATTTGTTTGACAAAAATAATAATTTAAAAAAATAAATATATAATAAATCATTTTGTCTAAAAATACACGAAGGCCTTCGAATTTACTTTGTGATCAACCATAATCAATACAAAATAAATACAAGTAGAAATGATGCAAATATTGAAAATATAACCCTCTAACTATTAATTACATAACTACCCAAAGTGTCGGTCTAAGGATCCCGAAGAATCCGCCGAACAAATCAAAGTAATTATTAATTAATAAAAGAGTCTATAATTTTCTCATACTTAAGAGTCAAATGCCATGACGGTGATAGGGAGCAATTGCATACGACGGCTCTCGCAATATATCTCAACCTAACGCGGATCTAGTTCAAATCTTAATTAATTATGAGTCCATTCATAATTACCGACTATGAACCATTTATGATTACTATTTATATATCATGCATTGATTGCCATCACAAACATATATATAAATATCTCTTGTAATCAAATGGACACTATCAATTCTATAATGAATCGAAATATAATATATTGAATTCACCAATTGTATAAAACATAAATATTTCATAAACGTCAGGAACATATGTCACTTTAATCCAAACAGGAATTTGTTATGCCAGGGCATATAAATCCCAACAGCTCCCACTTGCCCTCATAGCCAATTCAAATTGCACCTAACTCCAATGTTATCCAGATGATGATCAAAATTATTGATCAATAACAGCTTTGATAATGGATCAACAAAGTTGTGTTCCAATGCAATGTTCTAGCCACAAGTACATTTTCCTCATAGCCAATTCAAATTGCATCTAACTCCAATGTTATCCAGGTGTTGATCAAAACTATTGATCGACGACACCTTTGTTAATGGATCAACAAAGTTGTGTTCCAATGCAATATTCTAGCCACAAGTACATTTTCTTGCTGGACAATATCATGTAGAACATGATACTTCCTATCAGTGTATTTTGTTCATCTATGGAACCTTGGGTCATTGGTTTGGACTACTTCTGCACTATTGTCGCAATATAGCTCGATAGGCAGGCTAGTATGCTCCACAACCTCTAAATCAGTGAGATCAAACCAATAGGCTTCTTTTGCCGCCTTTAAGGCTGCAATATATTCCACCTGCAGGTTTGAGTCAGCAGTTGAAATCTGCTTAACAATCTACCAACTGATTTCCCTTCCATTAAGTGAACATACACTAAGTCATGAACCTCATAGTATCTACTTCTGATTGAAAATCAGAACTAGCATACCTGACTAGGACCATATCATCACATCCATAAATGAGTATGATATCATTGATTCTCCTTAGGTACTTAATGATATTTTTCACAACAGACTAGCTGTCAAGTCCAGTATTGGACTGATCTTTACTGACTATCCCTACTATGTAACGGATGTCCTGTTTGGTATAGACCATGGCATATATGAGACTCTCATATGCCGAAGCATATTGTTTCAGTCTCATTTGCTCAATCTCCTTTGATAGTCTTGAAAAACTACTTACTAGAGAGAGCAATCCATATCAATAAAGCAAGAACTCATTCTTTGAGTTATGCACACCAAACCTGATAAAAACTTTTCCAATGTAGGATTATTAAGATAAGCCTATTTTCCTTTTAACCTGATCTTGCAAAAGCTTGATCCTAGGAATATAGCTTACATCTTGAAAATTCTTCATTTAAAAGTAATTGAACAACTACCTCTTTATCGATGACAAAACTTCCACATCATTCTAAATGAGTAGGATGTCATATATAAATATAGAATCAGAAAAATAATGACATTCCCTTGTACACTCATGATTTATTCACAAAAAAATCTTCTGGTATCTTTTTGTAGATTAACTTGCCTTCCATAGGAATCACCCTACTAGAAAGTTCTACAAGATCCCAGAATTTATTAGAATACATAGATTCCAACTCTGATTTTATAGTAACTCGCCAAAACGATCTGTATCTATATCGGTTCACGCTTCCGTGTAACTTACTGGGTCCAACTCATGTTTAACAGGGATATCCATAATGGTCTCACTTAAAAACATGATTATGTCGGATTGGATGATAATCCTCCCACTACATTAATGTACCGATGCAGGAATCTGTGTACAAGATGATGCTGACGCATCAATAGAGAATTCATTTATTATTCTCAATCTCTATAATAAGTGTGTTCAAATGTGGTACATTTGATACTCATACCATATTCTCTAACATTATGCTACTAGGTATGTAATTCATAATATGATCCTCCTATAGATAAACAGTGAGTGTAAACAATCAACTTTTATCATTGAGATCATAAAATAATCCATCCTAGTGACTTAAGAGTAGTTATCAAATCTAGCATGCCTATGATTTGCTTCCAACTTACTTGTCCATATCAAACGCACATGTGCAAAACTACCCCATACGTGCATGTGATTCAAACTAAGATTTAGTCAAAAACACAGCTCAACGGTATCCTTGAGACAGACTAAGATGGAATGCAGTTCATAATGCGCATCGATGTCATTAACGCTAAACTCTTAAATGAAAAAGATAATGTGGCATAACTGATCATAGATCTAACCATGTTAAGTGGAATTCTGTTATTCCTATTTGACACCTAAATGCATTTAGCGTCAATTGCGGAAAACTGGTACATAATACCCTCATTGACCATATAGTCTTTGTTCTATCCCAAGAAATACTCATATCCTCGATCAGATCGAAGTGTCTTGATAAGTTTACCTAATATGTGCTCCACATCAGTCTTAACCTTCTCAGAATATACCAAGAATTTAAGACTTGTGTTGCATCAGATAAACTTATCCAAAACGTGAGTAATCTTGCTTGGATGTTCATAAGACCACACGTGTCAGTGTGTACCGACTCCAATTGTCCTTTATGTCTATTTCTTCTGGCTGATTAAGCCCTAAGAGTTATCTATCCTTCAAAACAGGGTTCACAAGTTTGGTTTACGCTCCCCTACCTCACTAGGTAATTAACCTTCATTGACCAATCTTTGAATCTTATTTTGATTGATAACAACCCAAAAATAGACATTAAAAATACAATGAGTCAGGAATAACAATTTTTCTCTTAACATTCAATCTAGAAGATGTAACATTAGTTTTTACATCCTGCAAATCTTAAGAGTTTGTGATTATAGTATATTAACCATCTTTCAATGCACCAGAAGCAATAGCAAATCTATTCAATTTTATAAAACCAGTTTTACAAAATAACAACACAGTTTTTATAAACCACAAGTGAAACAAAAATTAGATTGCGTCTAACTTCTGTTCATAAAGACAGTTCTCTAATACTAATATCCTCATACTCTCTAATTTCAGATGTAATACTCCCACTGACCTAACTACAACCTTGGCATCAGGTCAAAAGATAAATATATATCCATATCATCAAGGCTTCTGGATTCCTGAAATCCTTACGATGAATTGCAAACATGTTTAGTGGCTCCAGAATCTATCCATCAAGAATTAATAGATGCAACCACTTAACATAGCTCAATGATTAAATATATATTTTCCTATGCCATGTCATTGCTTAGACAGTTCGTCCTATAGTGTTTTAGTTAACGGCAAAAGAAACAGTTTCATTCGCCCTCAATATACACTGCCTTATTCCCTTTAACCTTTTAGATACCTATGTTTTGTGCTAGCCTAGTCCTATTATCATCCTTCTTCTTTGCTTTGCCCGTCCACTTGGGCCTAGAAGAAGATGGTATAGACTAGGTTAGATTGATAGGAACGCCCAAACTCTTGATTATCCCTTCATCTGTTACCAATTCTATAAGAATATCAGCGAGTGTGAACTCAAACTGATTCCTTATTTAGTTCACTCTAACAGAGTCGAACAAGTTTGGTAACAAGGCAATAATCATGTCAACTTGAAACTTACCACCCAAGTCAGCCCTATTGATCTCCAGCTAATTTTAAATAATAAACAATCATTTTCCAAAATTTGATTTCATACTGGAGTTCCTTAGGCTATCTTGATGTTATTCAAGTCTGATATAGTACTTTAGCATACTCTCTATCTAATCTCACCAAAACATCTTATTGACATTTAACATGATGCTTGAAGAAAATAAAATAATGTAAATGTTAGTTTTGGAGCGTATTCGAGGTAAACTCTAGAATGTTGCACCAATTCATCTCATTTGTCTTATTTCACTTATTCAAAGCATTAAT